TTTGTCCTAAGTTCAAGTTCCTAGTCAGAAATGAGTTCGTTTTTGACTGCCTCTATAGTCATATTTATTGGTATACGTGTATATAAACTGACAATGTCAAAACTGACCATTTTTTCTTCATTATCTAAAGTTAAATTATCTAATCTGTGTTTTAGTTCATAAGAATTAGTTAGTCTATATTTCGAGTGGTTTCTAAGTGGATTCAATACCATAGCTGAATATTTAGACAGTTGATAAGTGAACGAATTTCTAAAACCAACTATAGGTCTGATAGGATATCCTGACTTATGCACCATAACAACACCATGCATCCTACTCGGATTATTACTTTTGGTAATAAATAAAACCATTTAGACTCACCTAGAAACGGCACCATTTGGCTTATAAGGTCCACTATGGATTTCTTAACCTTATTTATAACAGTGTCTATTGATTTATTAGTTTTGATGGTTCTGTTTGTTTGTGGGTATTCACAATCTTCAAATAGTCTGATTTGTTGAATAATTCTGTTGCATTTCCTTTGTCTGATTTAGTGATTATTAAATCCTTGTTATTCTTGGGGTGTTTTGGAGGTTCTATCTGTGGTTTTGTCAGGTTAGGATTTCCTATTTTTGTCGCTTTAGTGTCAGTGCACACTGTCGTTGTTTTGTCTATCCCATTTAGTACTGTTTTCACTTTACGGATGACATCCTTAGATTTCAGCTTGTCCACTACTACACTGAAATTTAGTCTGTGTGAGACTTAACACATAAGTTGAGAGACTTATAACCTCCTTTGATTTGTCGATCATCCTTGACTTTAGACTAGTGGTCTAATCGTTCTCATTCGTAGATTTCTTCTCCAGTAACTTATGGAATTTTTCGATTTGAGTATTCTTTGACGTTTTAAAAGTTGCTGATCTGACACTGTCAGAGAATTGTATCATAAGATCGTAATCCTCGTTTGTAACTGTCTTCATAAATGTTTGCTTTAACTGTTTGACTTTATTTCTGACATGACGCAACCTTTTACCGATTCAGTAGATTTCTTATTTTGAGCATAATTTCTGTAGACTTTCTACTCTTGTTCTAACTATGTCTGTTAGGACTGAAGCTTGTAGGAACATAGTGCTTCGAGCTAGAGACTAGAACCTTCTGTAGCAGTTGTGTTTATTTTTACGACATGGGGTTGCCAACTTCATATCCAAACCTCCCTCTCTACCATACTTATTATTGGCTTAGTTAGGTAAAGGAGTGCATCTGTCGGAGATCGAATCCCGAACTGCCTGAGTGGTTGGCGAGCATTCTACCATTGTGCCACCGATGCACTTTAAACAGGAGGTGGTGGACGTTAGGTTCTTAAGGATGATTCCACTTTTCATACCTTGTTTCAGTTTTCAAAGGTCATGTGAGTTTATGGACTAGTCCCCGGATAGGAAGAACATCAATGATATTAATGTATACGTAAAATTTGGGCACTCTGACAGTATTTATTTCAGTATTAATTTGTTTACTAGATATATCACACACACACACACAGTGAAACAGTCCTTTGGTTATAATTAATATGATTATGAACTACAATAGATTGTGTTCCGAACGTCATCTAGTAAGTGATTCTGTTTCACTGTGTGGTATATCTAATAAATAAAATTAATATTGAATTACATAGTACCACAATGCCAAAGTTTTACACAGACATGTTACTCCTAAAGCCTAACAATTACTCCTTCTCTCCGTGTATAAACTAGGTTCTAATCTTTAGTGCCATTTATGTTTTTGCTAATAATAATAATAATAGCTTTATTCTGAACAATTTCTATATAATGTATAGGATATTCAACGGAGTTTATTTATTACACGAGAATTCCTCTTTATCCAGGAGCTTCAAATAAAAGGTTAAGTGACAACAGGCAGAGTGGCACAGTTCTACCCGATCTGAAGTACAAAATAATCCATTATGATATTATCTTCTTTCTTTCCTTCAAGAAATACAAGACATTTTACTGAATACCAATTATAAACAGTTCAGGAGTACTCCATTATGGATACGATTTTAGTCTGTCAAAATCACACAGTGTGTTGTATGTACAGTAATATTAACTGATGCTATTAAATAACTATCCTATTAAACTCATTAGGAAGATCGAAAAAGGTCAAAACCAAATTTTTAAAAATAATTGTGAAACTAGTAGTGATAACGTAAATAAGAGAGAATATATAGCATCTACTGTTATACCATATAAAGAGGGGACATCTGAGGTAGGGTTCTTAATAAAGCTGGAATTAGAGTGATGGCATTTAAACCTACAGATTCACTCAATAACAAGCTCTGTAGTTTAAAGGACCCTGTTGGTTGACACCAGTGAACAAAATAACAATTTAGAAAATACCTTACAAAGACTGAGAGTTAAGTCAACTACATAGATCAAACTGGTAGATCGGGAACAGTCAGATTATCAGGACATAAGAATTTAGCTAAGGTAAGAATGGCTGAGTCCGAGAAGATAAGTAATATAGAAAAAACTCAGCAATTGCACTACAAGCACTAACACACAACCACACAATAGGGTGGGAGAGGGTTAGGATTCTAAGAAGTAATCTATGTAGGTGGAGAGAGAGATTACTGAATCCTGGTTCATTAAGTCTACACCCAACAAATGCAGCAGAAATGACTCAATCCAAATACCAGAAATATGCATGGAAGATATTATTACCATCAGTCAGTCAAATCAGAAGAGGATAATAAATAATCTCAAAATTCTATTTCAATTCACGTGCATCACAACATTCTAACAAGTTACTTATTTCCCATATTATTGTAATTGATCAATAACACTCATATCATTATTCTTTCTGAATGTACATTATCACATATTGATTTTTATTCTAATATCTAATGAATTCCACACATGTATATAAATGAAGGAAAAATTTGTGTGAGTAGCTCGATATGAATATGAGCAATAGTGTGTGCTCGAAACGTCGTCATCAGTTAATATTACTGTGTAACACTGTGAAACGTTATGAAAACAAAATCTTATCCATAATGGAGTACCACCACAGTGCCCAAGTTTTTTTTTTACTTTTTTTAGCCCAAATTTCAAGCAGGTCTCACAAAAGGAAGGTGTTCAGGCTGTATTCAGTTGAGAAGAATCCCCCAAAATAACAAACGATAAGCTCATATATACATTATCCTGGTTCGTTTTTCATCCCTGCTTTGTTAAGATATTGCTAATATCTGAAATATTCTGAAACTCATGCTAGCAAGAAGGTATGCAGAATTGATTATTATGAACAGTTAAAATTAAGTGACATCAAACAGTAATGCTTGAGAGTCAGATCGAAACTGTCTCAACACCAGGTGGCCATTTAGGCTGTTTGGTACTGACTCAGTTTAGAAAGTCAACTAAATTCCAAATGACTGCTATTTTTTTATTCCTTCACGTTCCCAGTGGAACATAGGGCTTCAAAATAGAGGCTTGAAGTTTCTGTAGCAGTGGTGTTTATTTTTACAGGGTGGGGTTGCTAGCCTCATGCCCAACCTTCCCTCTTACCCAATTCTATTACCGGCTTAGTGAGTTAAAGGAGTGCGTCGGTGGCCGGGGATCAAACCAGGGACCGCCCGCGTGATCGGCGGCAGAATATCAGGAGAAATTATTTTTATATCTGATTTTTCTTTCAAATTGTGTAACAACTACTAACTAGGGAACGTTTCTTCGCTTCCTGAAGCGTGTTTAGACTGTTTATTTTACTAGCCTAATAAAAGATTGTCTACTAAAAGCTAAAGCAGTTTGTTTTCTAATAAAATCAATAACAGAGTGTGTGCACCGGTCTTTCAACGGTAAAATACGTGCCACCCACCTACGTGGTTCTGGTTCGACTAACGGCCAACGTACTCCTAATCCTCATCCATCCAGTAGTAAGCCTGGTGAAGAGGCAGGATTAGGCATGAGGCAAGCAAAACCACATCGTGAAAATAAAACAACTGCTAGTGAAATTTTAATCTTGAAGCCTTCCACTCCGAATATACAGAAGGAAAAAGAAAAGGATAACCAACGAAAACATTTTTACGGAAGAAGGCCGCACAAGATCTTAGTAGTACTTGTGACTGTTGTTCACCATGAGCTTTCTCATACTTGGCTTTTGACACATTATTTCATAATAGGTGTGAATTTTATTGAAGTCGACTGTCTGTATCACTAAAACCTTATCGTTCCATGTCTTGACCTCAGATGTCCTCTGAATTTCAGTTTATAAGTCATCCTCAATATCTTCAGAAGTTTATTTTGGTTTAGCATAACATGAATTTTTTTTCGTCTGAAGGTGTTTTCATCAAGTTATAATCTATTTAAAGCCATTGGATTGAGGGCTGATCAATAACACTAAAGGAATATTTAAAGTACTTCAGCTGTTGTCTGTTCCATTTGACGTATCGACAAATTACTCAGCTTGACCGCTTGACTGTGATGGTTATAGTATAAAGGATACATGATAGGTGTCATTTTTCCGATAGAAATGTTGGAAATGGCACGACTCAGAGTTTATACCACTTTTGGGTAATCCGAAAAGAAGAAGCACTACTGTTATTTTCTGATTTATAGTCGTTGCAGAAACATTTTCCATGATAAATACTTCTGTTCACTTTAAAAAAGCATCATTCACTACTAAAAATTGTCCCTTTTAAATGGACTATAAAAATCAATAGGAATTTAAGACCATGTGAATTCTAGGATAGACTATGGCAAAAAGTACATTTTTAATGGTAGCTTAGCAGTTTCTGCAATTTTCCTACGATGATGAGCTATGTATTTCAGCTCACCATCTAGATTTTAGCCAGTATACATGCTTCCGAGTAGTCACCTTCGATTTATTTATGTCTTGATGGGGTGAATGTAGCGGATACATTAAGTACTGTCGTCTTCATCACTTAGAAGAGGTTCACACAACCACCAAATAATAAACAACTTTTAAGCGCTAAGGGTGAATACTGTCTTTGCTACAACAGGTAATATGCGATGGTCACGTAAAGTACAGAAATTTACTTGATCTTTGTTGATCTCTTCTTCTATTAGGCTGTTGTCTTGGTGCACGTCTGGCTGAACGACTTCTTTGTCTATTGGCTTGTTGTTGTTGTTGTGGTTGACGAGATCGTGATCGTTGATTAGGTCTTCGATTTCTTGGATTAGGTCTTGCACGAGGAGGACGTTGTTGCCTTCGATTGGCTCTGTTTCTTTGTTCTCTTGGATCATCTAACAATGACTCTTCCTCTTCCTCATCATCTGCTTCAGCATAGTGATTATTACAATCTTGTAAGTAGTCAGGGTTCATGTCGTTGATGACAACTAGATTCTTTCACACTGTTAACTGATTAAAGATACAGGCGATTTATTATCATTTAATTCGTATTCCTTTTTGTCCCCAAATGAACAAAAGGCTTCAAGCTAAAGCTCTCAAGTCCAATTCAAGTTCACTCCTGCTTATTTTCACGGAGTGAGGTGCTGGCCTCAATCTCAATCTTCCCTCTTTGCCGGCCCTATTACCGGCTTATCGATGCCTAGGCTGCCTTGACTAGTGTCGCTGAACCGTCATCTCACAGTCTTCCATTGAAACCACAAAAACCATCGTCTCTTCATTCCGTATCTCAGAGAAAGGCAAGAGTGCATAAATCTAGCCCAAATCATGTATTTCCTTTTGAAATTATAACCTTGGAAAGTAACTACCAATCAGTGAGTAGGGTTTCTCTATTTATACTGAAACTCCTTTTTAGGAGACAAAGAATTGTAGAAATTGACTGAGACTAGCAAGGCATGATAAAAATGAGACCATAAGGCGTGCTATGAAAATGTAAACACCAGTGTAAGGCCTTCTTTCTCAATTAAGGTATAATTCCTCTCGGATTTGGTCAAATTTCTTGGAGCGTCTACGGTTAATTTCTTGACACTGTTGCACTACTACGGTAATGAAATGTATTGGCTGCAATAGTAGTTTCCACCTTGGTGTTATACTACACAAGTAACAGATCAGAGGATACTATTTCTTTAACTTTCTCATATATACTTGCATTTATTCGACTAAATCAATTTCTTAATTTTTTCCAAGAGTTTTTTCACAAGTTCTCCAAAGTGATGCATTTTCTGAACAAAAGGAAGCTAATGAACATGATTGGTCCCAGGTAAAATAAACCACTTTTTTCCACCACGAAAACAAGGCACATATATACATATAACAGAATGAATGAAAACATCACACTTGTCATCACTTAAATAGAAACCATACTCACCAAACTTTACAGCATGTGGTCTAAATGACTCGAAAGATACTCATGAATTGTTTCAGTTGTAATTGCATCATCTGAACATACCATTACGCCTTGGATTTCACTTGCCAAATGTATGAATAATTTCCTGGAAGATGGGTCGTAATCTGTGTGGTACTGACATATGCTTCTATGTGTAATGATAGTAAAAAGTTCTATAAAAGAATCATCTCTCGATTTCTACTTGTAGATATGAATCAGCTTAGTCTGACCTTGCGTAGTGTTTCCCGCAAAATATCTTGACAAAATTATTTTCTGAAAATGGCAGTGGATATGCATGATCCTCGAAGGTATCGTTAAATCCAGTCAAAAATATCTGCAAAAGTACGTATAACTTCTTTTATTAGCTCAAGCTGAGATATTCACTAATTTTAGAATACTGGGATCTTTCAATCGATTCAATTCTTGATCGAGTGATTCAAATGTTGAGTCAAAAAAAGTGATATTTTATGTTTGGTCACTGGCTTGCCATCATTTTAGAGGCACAATTTAGCTGAAATCAATTTAGTAGCCCAAATTTTCACTGAATACGTGTTCCTGTTCACTGAGTAGAGCACACTGACCATGTTCCATATACTTCCTTAGACAAATGGTTCGAGGAGATGCAAATACTTATGAAAAAATTGAATTTAGGGATATTTTCCAGAGAAATAGTTAATCAGCCGAATCAATATCGAAAATATTTCCAGATCATGATAGTTCGTAAGGTGTTATCTTCTGAAATTATTCGACATGAATTCAACGTCACAAGAAATTTCACCAAGTGGATTAAAAACCACCTCTAGAAGCATTTTTTAGCAACATGACAAGTACGAAAAACTAGATGACATCCAATTAAATGATAATTCCTTTGGAAGATTAACGTAACGTCTAGGGAAATGTTGAAAGGGAAACGAACCGGATGATCGGAAATCGGCCTAGCGAACATAAAGCACATGTGAAATTTATTCATTTGAACCCAACTGAATAATGCTACCATTTCTCTAAATACTTGACGAAAACAATTTGAACTGTTTCATCAAAATTGAAATCCCCAGTAGATTTTGACAAAGTAAAATTTACACACGCTTAGCATGTCTGTTAAATCCAAGTTCGTGCTGTACTGTCCATATTGATCAGCTCCACTCTGAATAATCTTCAAGCCATGAAAGATAATTAATTCTCGGTGTCTATGTCATGTATGAATTCTGTAACTGACAATAGAACAGAATTAATTTCCTCAGTCTAGCAGTGGCTAGACGACTGCAAAGATAATTTATTACTAGGAGTCTCTGTTGTTGCCGTCATAACAGTAATACTCTCACTTGTTTGAAACAGAAGAACCTGACTTAACACCACTTTATGGCGGAGAGGTACAATGACAGATGTGGCGTCATTCTACTGTTACTTCAGCAGTGCTCAACAATTTGTGGCTGATCACTGGAACGCTATTCTCACATTCACAGAGAGAGAGACAGCTAAGATATATTGCTCCATGGAAAACGCAGTGTGACTAGTAATTATAACTAATTATATGGTTATTTCACATGACCAACAAATTATAAGTTTAAAACATAAAAGATATTTTTTTTGACTCGATAGCCTTAACCAGTTAAAATAGAGTGACTTGTGCGTCGGTGGCACAGTGGTTAGGACTCTCGCCGACCATGCTCACTGTCCGAGGGTCGATCCCCTGCCGACACACACTCTATATCTATGGTCGGCCTGTAAAATTTGGGCTACCGATATCCACACTTGTACCCAAAATACAGTGTGGAATAAAGCTGTAATCAAAAAAAAGTAAATTACTGCACATTAAGGTTAAGTGCTTTATTTACAGGTGGAGTAGACATTGACTCACATAATAATGTGTCTTCTCCCATCATAACAAAATCTTTAAAGATTATCCCCCAATTGGCAAGATAAGACAGTGAAGCTTGGGGAAACGTATCTCTCAGATATTGAAACTATTACTAGAGGGCATCTTATTACACCGATACTGAGGAGTTTGTAACCATACTTCCTATAAATATTTATTCTGCAAATGGGAAATCCCGATAAAGGTTATAAATAAGTAAATATGTACGCTACTTTATTTGCATAATAAAGTATGGTACATAATTTCATGATGTAATATTCGCATAGACTAAGTGTGTATATTCGATTTATGAATGAAGGAGGGATGATGGATGGTTAGTGGTCATATATATATTCTTGTGCTTTTGTGTTCTCTGAGCTTGACTATTCGATTATGCAGCTTTCACTGTTCATTCAAAATAAAGTCTTCATCGTCTACTTTCAGCATTCATCATACATGAAAGAAGCGTCCTTTGCAATGACATTTGTTGGGATTAGTCATCTTCAGAAGTCTCCCTATTAACGTGTTCGCCTATGCTGAATCTCATCGTCTTATTGACCTAAAATCTAAAAGTTTGATAATTTTTTTCTTTATCATGTGACAAATTTCAAAAGTATTAGGATGTCTACTTACTAAAACTCTTAATTTTTTATTTTATTTTTGATTACAGCTTGATTCCACACTGTATTTTTGGTACAAGTACGGAATTTTCAGCGTGGATATCGGTAGCCCAAATTTCGCAGGCCGACCATAGATATCAGGTGTGCACCGGTGTGGGCTCGAACCCCAGACCATGTGCATGGTCGGCGAGAGACCTAACCACTGTGCCACCGACGCACAGCGTATCTTCTCTTTATAAACGTTTTGTAAGTTTCCCGTCGGAGTGGTATCCTCAACAGCTCATATCTGTTGATATAAAGGAATATATATTACGTAATTTGACTCTCTATATAAATGTATAGATGGAGGGCACCTACTCTTTTTGTTATAAAATTCAACGCTTCTTATCTGATAGATGATAAAGTTGCACGCAAGTCAACTCATCTTGGAGATGGTCAGAATGTATTTCATCATTATTATTATCATTAGACTTCAGATAGCAATGTTCCCGTATCTCTTGACTTGTTTCATCAATGTCTGCATGCATAATTGTTTTGGATGCCCTCTAACTGTGACCTTCGCAATCTAATATTTAATTTGTATAAGTAAAATTTCTGCATGCTTATGTTACAAAATGGATCTCTACTTGTTCTGTTGATCGAAACGTGGAGAAAAAGAAATTTTTTTAAACCTGATTTCTCTTCTCTTGTAAATTCAATCTTATCGAAAAGGCTGTTGTGGATGCGTTTTTTAAATGATTTTTATGAATTATGAATAAAGAGTCATCTGTATAACCTATTCAAACGTTCATTGGATCTAGGGTAAAACTATAGCTTAAACTCTTCGTATAGTAGCTACAACATTCAGCGTAGGTATATGACTCTTGGACATTAAAGGTTATCATTGTTTTCATTGTCTTCAAGTTGACTCACCGATAACTAAGGTATTCAGTTGAAAAAGTGAGCATACTTCCCTCCAGAGGTCTTTTAATAAGTTGAAGCTTTTCAAGTGAGATACTTGGTCAAAAGTGGATATTTGGTTTGTGTACTTTGAGTCTGTAGTAAAATGGAAATGAAACTACTTCATCAGGTTACATCTTTCACTGATATTTGATTTGCAATTTGTTTTAATTTCACAAGATTTCTTAATGTCATTTGAAAAGGTATATTAAAATTGGGTTGAAATTTTATCTGTCACCCTAATAAAGTGCAAATATCACGTCAAGAGGACGTATTAATATCAGCAAAACTACTGTAGGTGATTAATCATAAGCAGCGTCATGACAAAGGAGGATTCTTCGAATCATAGTGAATACCTGGATAACGTTTCAGGTACAGTTATGTGCTCATAGTCATATCAATGGATGTCGTGGATGATTTATGTTTGATGTCACACAAAATCGAAGACTAACAAGCGAAAACCGACAAACTGGTCGAAGAAGCAGCAAAGATAGGACGCCTAGTGAACACAGACAAGACGGAGGTTATGAAAATAACCAACCAACCAACAACAACAGCAACATCCAGCGCCAGTCACCATCAACGGGAGGGATTTGAAATAAGCACTGAGCATTCT